GAATTAAGAAACTGAGGTTCTTGATTTTACAGGTGATTAACTGAATTGCAAGGAAAAATCAATCTCCAAAATCTTTGTCCTGGCCAAGTACCCATTTTTAAACTTTGCATCTCTGCCTTCCCAGAAAAATTACAACCATTTACAGATCTGCCTTATAAAATAGACACCAAGCAACAAAAACAAAAAAAAACAACAAACCAACCAAACAGTGCATGTGTAGGGACCCCCCCCCCAAGCAAAAACCCACCTAGCCTGAAGCACCTTGCTGTGAGCTTGTTAAGTGATACTGTAGTTACTGCATTTACACAAGTGTATGAAACAAACTTCGGGGACAGATCTTCGATTCTTTATATCTTCTCTGTGTGTGTACATACATATATGCATATTCTTCTAACAGAGTCTGCTTGCTGAATTATATTAATGTTTGTTTAGCCTATTTATGCATGTAAGAGAAATTGTGAGAGCACAGGTAGCATGCGGCAGCTGCTGATCGCGTATGTGTTACTCTGTGAATTGTTCTGGTGAATTTTGTCAACTTCTGCCAGATGTCAACATTTGGGCAGTGTATTTGAGTTAATCACAACCATACCTAAATCAATTATTCAGGTATTAGGGGGAAAAGAACCTTTTAAAATCTGAATCTGTTTTTCAGTGAAGACACATTTGAGTTCTTTATAGTGTTTCATGCTTAGCTCTCACTTTTTATCAGTCAAATTAAATAGAAACTCCTCTTACATTTTTTGCGTTGGCAACATTATGTATGATTAGTGTTCTTGGACTACTTCTGTTGTTCCAGTGGTTTTTTAGTTCATTAACATTGTGTTAGCAAAATTTTAAATGGTAAGGTTCAATAAAGGCATATATTATTTCTGCTATTAAAATATATTTTGAAATTCTTCTGCTTGCTTTTGAAAACTAAATACTGAGATTAGTCATACTATAGCAGCTGTAGGCATTTCTGTCTTTGGAAGAGTCATTTAATCAAAGATGTCTGTGCATTTATTTCAGAAAAGATGCAGGAATCTTCTCGTGTCCTTATGTAATCTAAATACAAATCTAAAGGAAATGTGCTACAGTATTATTGCAGTTTTAGCAATCTATTATAAAGTTTATTGCACAGAAATAACTAGGTCAACCTCTGGATGACCTGTCTTTTGGAGTTTCTTCAGTTAGCTTTAGGCTAGAGCTCCACCTTAGCAGGATACATTTTCTTTTTATAGTTAATAATTTAATTATAATTTCACAAAGTTGAGTGACTTTGGAAAGTTTTCATAGACTTGAGAGATTTCAGTATCTGCTTGGGAAAATTAAAGTTGGAATTCTGTGAACATGCTAAAAAGAAACTGCAGAAGAGCTGCTTTTTATGATGCACTTCAGTTTGGATTTAACTTACAAAAATATTCTGCTTATGAGAGCACACTTAATAGGTAACATAGACTTCACTGTTTGGAGTGGCATCTGCAAGAATGTAACTTTCCTCTTTTCAGACTGCACTGTGATGAACTTGGTATATTTTAAAAGTTCTGACAGGAAGATTACATGGACCGTTTGCCTTTCTCCTTCCCAAACTGGGTGCTTTGAATGAGTCATCAAGTATGTGCATGAAGAAAATGTGGCTGGCGGTAGTCTTGAATTTCCAGAAGGCATTTACTTAGATCAAGGATAATGGGGAATGACCAATGCCAGTCTTTTCCCATACCAAAACAAGAGAACATCAAATAAAATTGGAAAGTGATAAATTCAAAGCAAAGAACGTGCCTCTTGGTAGTATGGGGTTTGGCTGTGAGAGGTCTTGTGTGGAATACCATCACTGCTGAAAGTAACTGGAAATGTTAATGGGAAAATTATTGGTAAAGGATTACAAAATATAGGGGCAGCCTCTCTGACTGAAAAAAAAGCCCAAGTTAATTTCTGGATGCTGGGAAGGTATTTGGAGAATACATCAATAATAAGAAGAAAGCAAATACTTTCTTCCTTGGGCAGCTTCTGTAGGCCATGGCCACATGGGCTAAGTTGACCCTGCTGGTTGAGAATCAAAAGTCTGTGTCATACTCTGGATGTACGTAAATCTTTCAGAATTATCCTTTACTGGAACAAATGCAAGGATTTTTTTTTTGTCATTGCTGGAGTTTGAGCTCGATGCTGGAAACCCCTTAGAGTCTTGACTCATATATTCTTGCAAGGCATCTGTAGCTACTGTTTGCCGTAATACCAGTTTATAGTTGCACTCATGAGGGCCAAGTTTCTTCCTTCAAGAAAAACAATTCTTGAACATAAATCTTAGTAGCTTAACACTTCAACATCTAACAAGAACTTCATATTTCTTTCCCATTTTATAAGGGGATACTGACCAAACAACGCCATGTTTTCTTCAATGTTTTGTTGTTTGTACTAAGATGAATGGTTCTTACAGGAGATTCAAGTTGGTATAAACTGCAGCCAGCTAGTTTTGTCAAGTGATTTATTGGACTTGTTTGATCTAGAGAATGCATACTTTAGTAATTTACCCATCCTTTTGCACGGTTCTGTTATTTATTTTTTTTCTAACGTATTTCTGTGATTATAAGAAAGTTCATTGAGAATTTTTGCAAAATCTGATAGGACAATAGACCTGCTTTTCATAAACAGAGCTAAAAAATGTGTTAGTTCTGTGAGCAAGTGGTAAACTTGCTTTGTTTCTTAGTACTTTCAAAGGTTATGAAATAAGTAATTTTAGCATTGTAAATAGCTGGTGGTAATGAGCCATAACGCAAAATTGCATGTAAGCACCCTGATTGTCACTTTAGTAGGTGTGTTGCTTCTCAACACTGAAAAATGTAAACTAGAAAAAGTCAAATAACATGTTGATAGACAGGTTGAACTTGCAGCTGAGCAGTGTGGTTTTTGAAGTTTGCATCTTTGCTTTGCAGTGGGACTGAATCACAAGTGTGCCCCAAAAAGGGCTTGGGTGGCTGGATGGCTTTTTCATTTTTTTTCCTGTTTGTCTTCTCCCCACACTGGCACCGCCGCCCCCCTCCCCCCCAGCAGGTGCTAGCCTGATGGCCAAGGCGCTAAAGTGTGCTGTGGTATTTTTCCAAGTTCAAGTTGCTGACAGGTATTAGAGCAAATCTTCAAATAAATAAATTTATATATATATTAAAAAGATATATTTTATATATTATATATCTGTAAAAATACATTTTGGATTATACTTTTTATGTATACATGAAATAATCCAAAGTGTAGACCATTTTGATACGTCCTCAACTGAGCACATAGCTTTACAGACAGCCTGGATGGTATGATAGCTCCTTGCCACCCAGGAAGGGAGTTTTACTCTTCCCTCCCCTGCTCATGGCTACGCAGCCTTGTGCTTCCCTGTGCATTGGCTCAGGATACCTGCAGTTGAACTAGTTTAACTTGAAAATCCAGGGAAAAAAAAATTCTTGAGGTATATTTTGCCCATTTTATTGGGGAATTCAATCGGGTGATACTGAATGGCAGAGCCTGCAAAGCTAAGTGGCTGGGGAGGGGACGTTACCCTGCCCGTGAATGATTGTTTGCGAAAGCGAGTGTATCAATGGAGCGGGAGGGGGTGAAACGCACCGGTCATGTGCCAGGGTGGTTTTCGAGAAGGGAGGAATGGGGTGACAAAGGTTGCTGCCATTCTGCAGCGGCAACATTTCTGAAGCTTTTTATCTTCTACTGTGTTCTGGATGGAACATGCTTTAGTAGTTGCAGACTCTTGAGATTCACCAGCCTGTCTTGAACCTCCTCTGTTTTTGTCACTATTTCTTTTTACTCTGGTTCTCTGCTTTTATGTACTTCTGTGAAACGTGAAGAAACAGGACATAGTAAGTTCAGGGTTTATGGTTTCTCTCGGCTCTCTAAATTCTGGAAGCTACAGTGGCCCCTAGCATTCAGAATAAGCACTTGCAGGAAAAAAAAAAAGTACGGCCTCTATCTACATACTCAGTTGAAATGCAGTCTCTGAAGCATAGCTACCAGACATTAAGCAACATGTGCTTAGCATGCCAAAATTAAATCACTCCCTCAAATACCTAATCACTCTAGCAAGCTGTAGAATCAGCAGACTTTGAAGGTTTTTCTCCTTGCTGTTGTATCTTTAAAATACCCGAACATCATGCTTTCTTAATTTAACTATATAAAAGTTAGCCTGGGGTAGACAATCGACACAGAAAACTTTAGCCTGTGTGGTTAAATCTCACATTTAAAATATCCAATGAGGTTTTTTCTCCCCTTGAACATAGGAAAATTAGATAAATAACAGATCTGTGAATAGGTGGCAACATTATAATTAAGTGAAAAGCAAGTATTTCAGAATCTTTTTTTGATACAAAAAACTATGCTGTTTCTGATGGTTTTTTCTTTCTAATGTGGATAGTACCAACTTCCTTGATATTCATAGGGTCTTGTCAAATGTTTTAAATGTTAAAACTGTTGTAACTCTGGAAGACAGGGTTGTGAAACAGCTGGCTAGGTTATAAGGACTTGTTAGAAGAGTTTATCTTTGGGGAATATGTCATGGAAGTTTACAAATTTGAGATACAAAGTTGATATACATAGTGTCCTTAAACGTACACATACTGTGCTTTAAATTTAATATCAAATCCGCTTTTGGTATGGTTAATGAGAAATACCCTAGTGTTAAGTCTCGGCTCTGCAGTGCATGGTGTTACAGTTCAAACTTAAATCTAGTATAGATTTAGAAATAAAGCTATTAAGTGCAAAGTGTTAATGAAAACCATTCCAGTCTGCTCATCCTGTTCCAAAAATGTTTTTTTGCCAAATGTTTTTGTATTTCATTTTAGTGTGATAAGATTTATGGAGGTACTTTGTCATAAGATCATGGGAGGAGAAAAAATTAAAAATACTGAAACAGGAAAAAAGCTTGGTTGGAAACAAAGGGTGGTACAATCTAAATTTTCTGTGATTCTAACTTTTTACTCCTTCACATGTGGAAAAATTTTCACGGTATTTTTTTTTTTATTTTATTACAGAAGTTGTCCACTACAAAGGAAGAAAGAAAAGTAAGCTTGTACTTCAGACTGGTTTTTGAATATCTTTCTAATACAGTGGTGTTCCAGAAGATGATAAAGAAATGATAGCAGCTCCAGAAATACCAACTGATTTTACTCTCCTTCAGTAAGTGTTGTAAGAATTTGTAGTTTCATTTTTAGATGTACTGGCTCTTTTTAGTGTTAATACATATGATTGGTTTTCTCTTGGAAACAAGGAAGCAAAATGAGGGATTAGGGTTCTAGACTAATGAGATGTTGATAAAGCATTGTCTGAATTATTTCTTGAGTATTTTGGAAGTGCTTAATTGTTTCAAATCAATTTTTAAACTTTGCTAGTAGGAAGCCATTGTGACAGACACTTTTTGTTCGTGTTACATACTCTTCAGGATTTTGTCTTTCATAATTAAGTGTTTGAGTAAGAAACCCTTTGATTAGGAGAGAGGAAGTAGTTGAGGTATTGCCCTTAATAACCAGGGCAGGTCACCTAATATTTGAAATATCTGATGCCAAATGCTTTAGCTAAAGCCAAAGTCTTGGCTTCCCTCAGGCATCAGTTCCTTGGTGTTTTTGACATCATTTTGTTAGCTCGCTAGTTTTCCTACAATTTTTAAGAAACAGGCATTTGAATTTCTGAGATTTAAAATCGGGTATAGATTACATTTTGGACAGAGAAATGAAATTATTATTTTAAGCAGACCAAAATAATCCAGTTCCTCACCTTTTAATTGTCAAGAAATTGGCATGAATACGTTTCAACAGACTATTGAAATGGATTAAACTGGTATAAAATCTAAAAAGATACGGTTTTGTATCAATGAGGTTGTTTGTGTGAGGTGTTTTTTTTCTTTTAATGAAACTGGTTTAATATAAAATACTGGTTTTACAGCTGTTTATAATGTTTTTTACTCTGTTGGTACAGTTCATTACTTAGTGAAATGTTTGAAATTTGTGTTCCATTATTTCCCGTGAAAATACGAACACCTAGGAAGTTTTGAAGAAGTATTTCTCACCTTTTTTTTCTCCTCTCCCAAGGTTGGAGACTTTTTCTGTCCATATCAGAGTACGTAGTCAATAAACCCAGAAATAGCAGAAAACTCCTTTTGGACACTTGCAATAGTGAGAGACCTTAAGTTTGTGGATTGTTTTAGAATGTTACGAATAAATGCATAGGAGTGGGTCTCCCATGCCGTCTGGTCATCTTTATGATTGCATTGTTAAATTGAATCAGGAAATTTGTGATAGCAACTGGAATTCATCGTACTGCATGTATGTGTTAAATCAAGATCTAGTAGCATCATTTAAGTTGTAGTCTACAGGAAATGTAGAAGTAGAGAATATAAGCTAAGCATTTTCTATTAATTAAGGTGATTTCACACGCCTCACCCTCCCATCAATGTAGGCAATGAAGGATTTGTGTATCGATGCAGCATATTTTAATGATGCAGGAAATTAAAGAAGAAAGTTTGTATATTGTTTAATATCGTTTTACTTTGAGCCTAAACAGAACTACAGGCTTTTTGATGGAGAAACCTCACCTATATTTTTTTCCTGTGCCTTTCAACAGTGTGTACCTCCTAACTACTTACTTAGTTTCTAATAGCATGAAGAGATCTGCTGGGACACTTCAGTTGTGAGGGAAGGTGGTGGTTTCTTTTTTTCCTCTTGGGTTTTCTCATCTCTCTCTCTCTCTCTCTCTCTCTCTTTTTTTTTGTTTTTTTTTTGTTTGTTTGTTTAAGTATTTGTGGCAGATACTTACAGTGCTCTTTGCTTTTTGAGATGGTGTGATGTCACATGCCAAAAGCGACGTTCCAAACCTGTTGCTATTTTCTACCCACCTTCACATCTTTTGACTTACTGTATGGCTTTCTTAGCAGGTAAATTGTTTGGAGGAAGCAGGACAGGGTGTGAGTGTGAGGATATGCTTTGATCTTTTCCTCAACAGTAGACTTAAACAGAAGAAAACAGCTGTTTCACTGTTAAAGAGATGACTTACTGGACTGAGAACATAATGTGACTTTATGTAGTATATTTAAGAATGTTTTTGATGAAATGTCTAAATGGTTTGTCTTTTTATCCTTGCAGGGAGTCTGAAACACACTTCTCTTCTGATACCGACTTTGAGGATATTGAAGGAAAAAGCCAAAAACAAGGCAAAGGAAAAGTATGTTCGTTATGGGGATATTGAAATACTTCTGTTGTTATGAATTGAAGAGTTCAGCACTTGCTTTGAAGTTGTATGAGCTAGGAGTATTTTCTGAAAATGCGAGTGTTCTGTGAAGAGAGTTCACATTTCTATTTGCATTGAAATGCTTCATCTTGAGTATTTGCATGAAGTGCTATGAAGGCATAAGGGAAGTGAGGGAGAAAAAGATTAGCTTTGATTTTGATTAGTCTCTCTGCATGTGTTCCATCCTATAGTTAAATTTAGTGCTAATACAACCTCTTTTGGTTGGTATCATTAATTTTGGCGCTCTCTTAATTTGAAAAGTGAGCAGAAACCAATAATTCAATTAGAATGGTTTTTTAAACAGGTTGCAGTCAGGACATGAGTGCAGAGGTCTAAACCCAGTCAATAGCCCCTCTCTCCCCTTATGGGAGAGGTGTCCTCCCCTGGGTGTTCCTTGCCCTCTCACTGGCTTGGCACCAACCACGTGCAGCTCTGTCACTGCTGTGGCACGGGTGGGCTGCTGCATGCTGGCTGGCTGGGGCTGTGACTGCCTCGCCGGGTGCCCCATGTCCCTGTTCTGGTACAGAGCGCCCAGTCATTAAGAGGTAGTGATAAATAGTTTTATCCAACAGTCATTTAATTTCTGTTTAATTTTTTTTTATTTCTTCTAAGTCAAACTTGATTTGGAGAATCAAATACAAAGACACCTGTCTGCTCTTCCTCACCCCCACTTGCCAATATGTACTCAAACTAAAGAACAATAGGTTAATGGCTTGCAGAGGAGACTTTGTGACGTGTAAGGGAATTGCCATAGCTGTTTTAAATAAAATCTGTATAATCTCTTTTACTATTTAGACACGAGAAAAATCTTTGTCATACACTGTCTCTAATTGAATTTTTAGTTGCCAGAAGATATTAAGTGAGGGAAGGGGGAAATGGAACCTGTAGAATTCTTGTTGGTCTTTGTATCAGTCAGGAACAATTATTCTTGACTTTGGATTTTAAACCTGGTTGCTGAAAACAAAAGGCCTTGTGTGTAGTTGTCATGGTATGAATAGTAATTTTTTATTAATTGCTACATAATACACAATTAAAACTTCTTGTGCATGTGTGTGATTGCAGACCTGTAAAAAAGGAAAAAAAGGACCAGCAGAGAAGGGGAAAAGTGGAAACGGAGGAGGGAAGCCTGGTGGTCCAAATCGGATGAATGGACATCACCAACAGAATGGTGTGGAAAACATGATGCTGTTTGAGGTAGTTAAAATGGGCAAGAGTGCTATGCAGGTAAGACTTGGGATATCTCTATGACTTGGATGAATATACAAATTAAATACAACAATATTTCCCTGTGCATACGACTTTAATAAAATGAACCCCAAAATAATTTTTTCTTCAATTTGTAGTTTTTACTTCCAGATTACGATTTAAGAAAAAAAAAAAAGGGAAAAGTTTTTTCATTCTTTAAGTTTGAATTTGAATGAACTGATTTTACATTTCTAAATGTCAGGCACGAACAATCACATATATAATTGTGATTCAATTCAAAAAGAATTCTTCAAAAAGAAATTCAAACTATGATTCAGAATGAATTTTCAGTCTCCTAAATGAAGAAAGATTATTTTAGATTACATGACTTAAAGTCCTTTTTGTGTGGCTGCAACTAAATACAAATGTGGTTTATGCCTATGGTTGTCATAGAATTTAACAAGTCATCTGTAGTTCATAGATTCTCCTAGAGCTTTGATTATCTGAAAATAAATCTTGGCTTCTCTTCTCTTCTCTCACCCAAAGGAAAATCACTAGCCACAACTTAAGGGCTACTCTTTAAATTTTCCCTAAGTTGACTTGGCTAATGTATATTGCAGCACTCTAATTGGGTGGAATTTGGGGCAGGAAATTCTAACCCATTAGAAGTCTCTGCGTTAGGCACTGTTTCCACTGCATTCACTAATAGGACTGAAGTCAGTCTATTAAGAAATTTAGCACTTTTTTTTTTTTAAATTCAGTTAAATCAGTAAAGTGTTTACGTGACTGTGTGAATCTTCCAGTGGAGAGAGGGTTAAAGTGTGAGCCTGCCAGCCATGAAGCCTTCCTGCTGC